TTCTGTTCCCCACTCTGTCTCTGGTGAATCCTCTCACCACCCCTGCACCTCTGGCCTGTACCCCAGTTCTGTATGAACAAATAAAGAAATCTTTAAAAAAAAAAAAAAGATGTGGTACATATACACAATGAATATTACTCAGCAATCAAAAAGATAAACTCATGCCTTTTGCAGCAACATGGGTGGAGCTGGAAGGGATCATGCTTAGGGAAATAAGCCAGAAAGAAAAAGAAAAATACCAGTTGGTTTCACTCATAGCAGGAGCATAAGGGTTCGGGGGGAAAAAAAGGGAGAGACAAACAAAGGTAGTAGAGTAAAAATGAAAACAATGAACAACTATAAACCAGAGATATTTTCTGGGTATGGAAGGGAGAAGGGGATCAGAACTGGGGTGGGGAGAGTATACTGGGCTGTGGTGACGGCACACATGTGAATTGGTGGTGGGAAGCCCATGGGGATTACAACTGAGATGAAAAAATGCACTGAATGAAGAATGATGTAAAAAAAAAATATATATATATATAATAATAAAATTAGCAAATAATTTTCAGAAAACAAAACAAAATAAAACTCTGCATTCCAACATAAGGGCAGTATAGTGCAGCACAAGAAAATTTAACAGTCCTGGATTTATAAATGCAGAGTGCATACACCCTAGCATGGTTTGCTTTTGCACTCACTATATTTTGAAAAAGCTATTTGAAATAACTCTCAGAAACTCTCAAAATAAAATTTTATTTCATCAATCTCATAAAGATATTCAGAGGACCAATAAAACATTTCTTTATTCATTGAAAAGAGATATATTTAAAAAAAAAAAAGAATCACTTTGTTCTGGACTGAAAGGATTGATAGACATGTATACTTAGGCCACCTGGCCTCTTAACAGTCTGCGTCAGGGTAGCAGAGTATTGTAATACAAAATAATTGATCACATCGATAACTGTCATATGGTATGCTTTGAAGTTACACATAATGTACTTAAAATAGTATATAATGAACATTGAAACAATAAAGATTCACTACATGCTGGACATATCAGTCCCCCATGTCTGATTTCCTTCACTGCCACATCCCAGGTCTCAGACTCACTAGAAGTCCACAGATCACAAAGATATACAAAGAACTGATGAAACTCAACAAAAATAAACAACCCCATCAAAAAATGGACAGAAGAGCTAAAAAGGCATTTCTCCAAAGAGGAAATACAGATGGCCAACAAACATATGAAAAAATGTTCAACATCACTTGTAATAAGGAAGATGCAAATTAAAACCACAGTGAGATACCACCTCACACCAGTGAGAATGGCACATCTTCAAACAACTAGCAACAACAAATGTTGGTCAGGATGTGGAGAAAAAGGAACTCTACTGCACTGCTGGTGGAATGCAAACTAGTATAACCACTATGGAAAACTGTTTGGAGGTTTCTCAAACTGCTAAAAATGGAGCTTCCATCTGATCCAGCAATCCCACTCCTAGATATCTACCCAAAAGACACAAAAACATTGATTCAAAAAGATACCTGCACCCCATGTTTATTGCTGCTCTATTTACCATAGGAAAGACATGGAATCAACCCAAATGCCCAAAAGTAGATGGCTGGATTAAAAAGATGTGGTACATGTATACACTGAATATTACTCAGCAGTCAAAAAAGATCAACTCTTGCTTTTTGCAACAAAGAACAACCATATAACAGAGACATTTTTACAGTGGTGGAGTGGGGAATGAAATCAAAACTGGGGTGGGAAAGCTGCATGGGGCTATGGTGATGGCACAAGGGTGAACTGGTGATGGGAAGTCCACAGGGATTATAACCGAGATGGAAAAAGGCACAAAATGGTGTAAAAATAAACTAATTTAAAAAAAAGAATAAAAATGGTGTTATAAATTGACCCACACTTTACAGCAAAAAAGAAAATATAAAATATAAGTGATTGGAAAAGGTACCAAATGATGTAAAAATAAATTACTACAATAAAAAATAAATAAAATTTAAGTGACAACATGTATGATGGGCACTATACAAACCCTCTCAGTAGTAAAACTCATGACTGAAGTCCTTTATGTTAGTCTTGAGTAAAATGCGTGATTTTAAAGTTGGAAGGTCCTGGGCCTCCCTGGTGGTGCAGGGGTTAAAGTTTTAGAGCTATCAAGCTATCACCAGTCATGTGGCAAGAGTTCGATCCTCAGCCAGAGGAGCTGACCCACATGGCACAGCAGACCTCGCCTGTCTCACCTGTTACTCCTTTCAGCAGTGTATTTCAATGGATCTACCTATTTTTTTTTTTTTTAAAGATTTATCCATTTATTCATACAGAACTGGGGTATAGGCCAGAGGCCCAGGGGCGGCGAGAGGCCTCACCAGAGACAGAGTGGGGAGCAGAACAGGCAGATCTACGAAGTACACTGCTGAGGG